GAATTTTGGTTGACCATTTTCAAATAAGGTTGAAACTCTGAAGCATACATCATATATTTAAAATATTTGAAATAATTTGTTGTGACAGAAAAAAAAGTTTGACTTTTCTCTGATACTAGCTTGCAAAATATAATCTATCTTTTTATTCAATAGAAAATGAGCAACTTATTTCAGCAGTATATTCACATTTTGTATAAACAAGTAATGTTCTAGTATATGTAATTGTTTAAAAGAGAATTTAAGGACACTTTACGATAATCTTTTGCTTATGATTCGGTTTTTTAGAGCACCGGTATATCTTGTATATAAGGTCTATTCACTATTTCGCTTGGGTATTTAAAGTATACGATGTGAGTAGGTTTCACGTTTATGTTGCAGTTCTTATAGCATTGCTTCCCAAAATGTATTCTTGTTCAGAGTAGACTACAGTTTCGACCTGCCTAAATTGCTTCTGCATCTCAAACGAAACTCTGATCGGAATACTCCATAGTATAGTCTCAACAAGTTATTCACTACGCCATACTGTCACAAGTACCCTTTGATCTAATGACTTTCTTTAAATTCGCTTTTCCCCAGTGACCCAAGCGTGGTTGTGACAGTGTCGCTTAGTGGATGACGTATCGAGATTATACAGTGCATTATCACCACTCGAGTCCCGTTTAGGGAGTTGATGAAACCTATGCGAGGTGGAAACTGTATGCCTAACGTTTATGTGAATACAATTTAGCAAGCAAGGCTATTTCAAATATATTGAAAATATAAGGACTACGTATAGCCTTGCGGGAAAATTTAGACTACTATTATCTTTATATATGTATGTATATAGTAAACATATGCACGATACATTAAGTGATTTTGTAAAGGATCAATAAATAAGAAGACTTGAGCATATTTATAGTTACAAATTCTTGAACACAATTTCTTAATTTAATATAAAGTGACAATGATTTTTTTAATATATATACCTACTCCCTTTATTGTATTATTCTTTTAATTATTCATTGAATTGAATTATTAAAAAATATTACTGTATCTAGTGTATTAAATACTTTCTGAAGTTTGTTATCGGAGCATTGTTATAAGTGACTAGAATTAGCTTTATGCATTTGTAAATGTATATCACATAGGATTCTATTCTACGCAACAAACTTATACTGTTTTTATTTTGATCAATTAATAAAGTCTCAATTTCTTGTAGAATCACCACATTCTGAAAAGTAATATATCAGGAAGTTATCTAGTATAAATCTTGCCTCTATTATAGACCACGTTATTTTCCATGATATTTAAACCAATTTTGAGTTGTAATGTCTATAAACCCTAAGTTAAAAATTGAAGAAGCATTGATTTATTTATAAAAATAAGCTCTTCAGTAAATTCCATTTTAGCCCGTCAGATTAATTCAATAATGTGCAATTACAGCGCATAGAAACTTTTGATGATATCCTTGAGAAGTGACTATAGCCAACCGCAATCATGCATACATAATTTAAACATCATTATTAAACCAGATAAAGATTCAACAAAATAAACTTATAGCACATTAGAATACAAATAAAGTTTTTTTAAAGTTATCACTTGAATAGTCGTTTTGGTACGACGTTTTGCTTATATGGCTGTCAGTCTCAGAAGATTATAGCCAAGTGGTAGAGGAATCTAGGCATGAGCTTCTCAAATATACACGAAGTTATAGTGAATATATATGACTTGTCAACTTCTGGAAAGATATATATATATATATATATAAGTATCTTTTATACCAAAATATTGTTTTTTAAGCTGTAACCCTATTTAGGCCAATACATAATTTAATAAGATACAAAGATTTCAAAATCTGCTTGATTATTAAAATTTCTTAGACTTGTGATTTTTCTCTATAGATCCATACTCGTTTTTTATTTCAGAAAAGTGCAGGTCTTCTGGAAGTATCATGTGTGATCCTGCTCATAGTCGTCCCTCTGGACGTATTTCTGCTATTACATCTACTGAAGGTTCATCTACATCCCTAAAAAGACGAACTAATTTAGAATCGCTCAGTGAATCTGCTGCTGCATTGACAACAGCACTAATAACAACAAGTTCAGCTTCGGAGGTAATAACGCCGACTAATACATTGACATCAGCGTTTCATCCCTTACCCGCATTAGCAGCAAGTAATAGTTTGGAGTCTTCTGAGACAGCAGGAGCTACGAGTGGAAGAATGGTACTTGGAATAGGAGCAAATACCAGTGGAATTGTGGGACGGCAAAGAAAGGCACGACAAAATGAATCTAGTAGTGTTGAGTGTGGAATCAATGGCAACCTGCAGCTAAAGGATCATACAAGTAAGCAATAATGCCCAAAAATAATGACTCAAACTTGTGTCACTTATGTAACTTTTTTATACGCTGTGCCATACGTTCTTACTTATGGTGCATGGGTGAAGTCCATTGAAGATTGCGCGTAAGCATGTATAATTGAATCCTAGTGCTAGCAAAATACAAAATTTATGGTATTAGGCCATACCGATAAATGGTTGA